ACTGCTCACATCAGGATTTGCTAACCCAGAGGGGACACAACAAAAGCCCTGCTTTGCAGCACCACACCCCCTTCTGCAACAAGGGACTCAATCCTGAAGTTAAACTCAACTGAAGATAAAAGTGTCCTGATTGTGTCTTACCTTTGACTTCCTGCCCATGTAGTTTTGTGCAAACCAGTCTGAATCCATAGCCTTCAGGTTAGCCAGGATCTGCCCCTGAAAGAGAGGGAGTGTGACAGTAACAGGAACAGGCAGGCTCTGAAGAAAACCTACAGACAGTGCTACTGAGCAGAAGATATCCCAGGACTTGATACAGCCACTAAACTAACACAGCCAAACACAGGCTCAGCTTGTTAATGTCAGCTCAACCTTTGCTAGAGAAAGGTGTCATCCAGTAAGTGAGTCACCTCACCACAGTAACACAGATCCCCAACCCAATTAGTGGATGATATGGTTTCTTTCATCCAAGGATCATGGGAAGGTACGACTATCTTTGTTTACATATTACTTTAGAAGAATCTGTTTTCTTTTGGTGATTTCAAGCAACACAAGCCACTCTTAGCATGGACTGTGTCCATGTAAAATGTAATATATTTGAAGTATATACAGTACTTCTCTTTAGACATGAATGTACAATTACACCCATCTATGTTTAGCGAAGGTCTTATCAAAAGCTTTCACCAACATGAAAGCAGATGCCTACAGAATGGCTTTTTACAGCTGGAGGCATCCTTAGTGCTCGGTACTTACAGCAAAAGCTTCATGGAATTCAAAGACATCGATATCAGCCATGGTCAGACCTGCCTTCTCCAGCACTCTGGGAGTAGCATAGGTTGGACTGAAGAAGAGTTAAGAAACAAAAGTCTTACATGAATATGCTTGATCACATTACCGCCACCTTTCTCCACAGCAACCCAAGTTACGTTCCCTAGGTCCATGGTACAACTCTCTGCCTGTCCAACCAAAACACACCCCCAGGTAACTACTGCTAGTAACATCACACTGAGATGCCCCCCAGCACACCGAGGTGGGTATGTCTGCCGCAACTACTCTCCCACATTCGCCACCTCCCCCTCCTAAGTCGCACCTAGCACACTAGCTCTCACACCTCTGTGAGAGAGCCTGAAGAGATTAGTATCTCATGAGACACTTCCCCAAAAAAAAAAAGGACACATAACGGTAAGTCAAGGCTGCTGGGCTAGAACAAACTGTTAGGGCTTTTGATCATCAGCACCTACCCCAGTAGCAGCTGGTCCTTTGGATCTTGTGACACATACACGAAGTCCCTGCACGGGAGAAATGCTATTAGTAACAGAAAGAGGAGACGGAAGCGAGAGCAGACTTCGGAGGCCATGCAGAGCAGCCCCTTTTTACCTTAGGTAGGCCTTCGGTTTGTAGCCCAGTGCCAGAGCCTTCTCCTCAGACATGAGCAGAACTGCCGAGGCACCATCCGTCTGAAAGAGGCAGACAAGAGTGAGGTCACTGTCTGAAGAACAAGCACACCCTGTGCCCAAAGGAAGCCTGACAGCCCTCCTGCAGAGCAGCTGGCAGGACAGGACCTGATATTATCAGGGGTTCCAGGACATCTCCCTGTGTCTGCGTGACTGAGCTGATGGATGGGTGTGTAGATGGAACACAACATTAGCACACACATTGCTGAAGTACTTCCTTACAGTCAAGACCCACACAGAGGTGCCTAAAAGCCTTGCTAGTCTTATGGACAAGCTGGTTACCCCAAACACTCACCTGTCTACCTGGCTCCATCCCAAACCCAAAGTATAATTCTGGGATAATACAAACCACAGGCTCAACACATTGCAAAAATGAACATCACAGCTTTGGCACACAATGGCCAAATTAATTTCTGGGGTAACAGCCTCAGCTGCCTACAGACCGGCAGCAAGAGCACACCAACAGCATTTCAGCTGTTCTTACACCAAGGTTGTGGCATCACCAGTCTTATGCAAGTCCCCAGAACTACTAAAGAGTAAACAGCATTGCTGCTGAAAGGGCTCCAGCAGTAGCTACTTTCTTTTGAAGTGTTGATCAGAAACTGTGAAACAGCCTTTTAAACACATAGAAATCTGTCAGGGATGCATGCAGGAACAAGGCAGTCACCTCGAGCCCTCAGTGGGAGACTTTTACTGGCAATCACCTTCTGCTGAGTCTCAGGAACTGGGGCTCAGAAAAGCCTCACCTGACTCACAACTACCTCACACTTCAGCATCTAAAAACCCTTCCTTTAAAAATGCTAAGGAGAGAAAAAGGAGCATATGTGAAAGAGAGGTCATCATAATGGAGAAGAGAAGGCTCCAGGGAGACCTTACAGCAGCTTCCAGTGCCTAAACTGGCTGACAAGAAAGCTGGAGGGGGACTTTTTACAAGGACCTGCAGGGACAGGACATGGGGGAATGGCTTTAAACTGACAGAGGGGAGACGGAGATGAGATCTTAGGAAGAGGTTCTTCCCTGTGAGGGTGTCGAGGCACTTGCACAGGTTGCCCAGAGAAGCTGCGGCTGCCCCATCCCTGACAGTGTTCAAGGCCAGGTTGGATGGGGCTTTGAGCAACCTGGTCTAGGGGAAGGTGTTCCTCCCCATGGCAGGGGATTGGAACTAGATGCATTAAGGTCTCTTCCAACTCAAACTGTTCTGTGATTAAAAAAAATAATGATTGTATCATAAAAAATGATTAATCAAAAATGTATAATGGATCCTCATGAGGCAGCTACTGAAAAGCAAACAGGTTAAGACAGACCAAAGCTTCTGGGGTTTAGTTACTCATTTAAAAATTAAACAATCCAAGTTCACCAAAGGAGAAAATTCTTTCCCACAGGTTACAGCAGCTTGATCTACATGCCTGTGTGAGACAGAGAGACCTGGAGAGTTTTCCCCCCAGGCTCACAGTGATGGGAACATGCATTACCAGGAAGGAGGAGTTGCCAGCTGTGACGGTTCCGTAAGGCTTGACAAAAGCCGGCTTTAGCTTGCCCATCTGCTCCAATGAGGAAGGACGGATCCCGTTATCTTTGGTAACTGTTTCTTTGCCTGTTGATGAAGAAAAAAAATTACTTCAACTATGAAAGTCAGCAATATACATGAATTTGCACATCAGAAGTCTGTGCAAAAAGAAGTGCCCCAAGTGAGCAGGTATCATTGAATCACAGGAAGGTTTGGGTTGGAAGAGACCTTAAAGCTCATCCAGTTCCAACCCCCTGCCACCTTCAGGGACACCTATCGGAAATGTAATGAATATGTATGTTAAGCAACAATATAATCATGTTCTGTTTGATGCTTAAACGAGACACACATTAGGAGGAGATATCCCCTGTGCCTCCCAGCGCTGCAATAAAGAATACCTGCTTATCAACTTCAACTTCGTTGGCGAGTTCTTCATGAGTTCTAGGAATCACAACCTGGCCTTGAATGCTGCCAGGGATGGGGCAGCCACAGCTTCTCTGGGCAACCTGTGCCAGGGCCTCACCACCCTCACAGTGAGGATCATCTTCCTAATATGAAGTTGAACCAACTGGGTAGGAGATTGTTTTCAGCTCTTCCTACCCAGCCTCTGATTTATCAGACCCGGATTTTACTGAGTTTTCTCTTTGTTGTTAATAGCTTGGCATATAAGGATGGGTTCTCTCGCCTGGAAGAGCAGGGGGATTCTTGGTCCCCCTATTCCGATTTTCCATGCTCTGTCATCCCATTAGCATGGATACGAGGTGAGTGCAACAAAATTCAGATGTGTAAGGATATGTTTATATATTTAGATATGTGTGTTTAGAAACATGCTCCTATGTCAGTAGTTTTCCTGGGAGAAACAGACAGCAGAGAGTTAAAATCCATATTGGATACACGGAACATTATGAATCTGGCCCCAGTACTTCCCCTCCTTTTCTAAATAAAGTATTTCTTCACTGGACTAGTGCACACTAGCAATGAAATGTGCAGTTTTACCTGGCACTTTGAAGGGCACCACATCCAGCAGCAACCCTCCCTCCTGGGCTTTCTTAGCTAGTGTGTGTGAACGGAGGGCGTATTCATCCTGCTCCAAACGGGATACGGCAAAGGCAGCAGCCAAACGATCAGCAGAATGCCCCATGGTCTCGCTGGTGGAGAACTCTGCCACCGCTGGGAGCTACAGAATAGAATGGAATGCTGCGAGATGCATTAATCAACTGCAGGTTTAACCCACAGCACAGGACAAAGATCCAATATAGGTGAACCACAGGCAACCACCTTACCCTTGTTAAATCCTCTCCGTTGGGGCTAAATAAATTACCTAAGCCAACCTGTTTTACACTTCCTTGTAAAACAGTTTAGCTGAGTATCTTAATGCCTGAAAAAAAAAAATTACCTCAGGAGCAAAGTAGTCAGGGCGAATTTTGGAAATCAGGGCGAGCTTTTGGCCCAAGGTCTTGGCTCGGTTAAGAGTCAGCATTGTCTTCCTCATCTTCCTACTGTGTCGAATGGGAACATCTGACATTAACTCCACACCCCCCGCTACAACGACGTCGCACTGTCCAGCCGCAATCATACCCAGGCCTGTAGAATGAGACAGAGTTGCCTGTGAGAGTTGCAGGGAGAAGCAACACTGACCCATTAGTGCCTTGGATACTACATTTTATTTCCTTAAGCCTCTGGCTTTGTCCAGGTTATACAACTCTGCTTCACAGTGACTTAGCAGGCTGAACAGCCATTTTCTGAATCATACTAGTTTTGAAACTTTGCTTCCACTTCTGTCACGCAGAGCAGTTGGGAGAAGAATACCCCCAGTAATTTGAGACCGGGTCTATATTTTAGTCTGTTTAGGCTAAGATAAAGATGAAAGGTAACAACTTCTACATCATGATGCAGCCTTTGCCTCCCAAGCTATCATGGTCACTGAGCAGGGACTACTGCTGAATGCAAGGGGTATCAAGCTGCTGGCAAGTCTACAGCAGACATTCAATTCAGAGTATTTTGTTGCTTCAAAAACTTTCCTTCCATTCCAGAATTTCTTCAGATGCTTACTTATACTCACTAAGCAGTGCAAGTTAGATGAGGGATGTAGAGGAGCTGATGAGCTCCTCTTGAAACCCACAGTTTGCTCTTCCAGCCAACATACCTGTGGTCATAGCCTGGTTTGAAGAAATGCAAGCCATGGTGACTGTATGGGCTGGAGTTTTGTCAGAGAAACCAGCTCCCAAGGCAGCCTATGAGCAACAAAGATTGGCTGTTAAAACCTGCACCTTTTGCTCCACAGGTTCAGAGCTACCTCCTGCCCAGTAACACACCTTTCCAGAATAAGCTGAAAACAAGTACATTGCAGTTCCATTCAGCCAGTCCCTGCAGCAGCTCATCTCCCCAGACGCTGGGAACAGGAGGAGATGGCAGCTGCCCAGGCTCTCAATTGCATTATGCAGACAGTCGCTGCCCCCCCACTAATAAAGAGACAAACTAATCACAATTTCACACCTCACAATTTCAATTTTCCAACTACTTGACATCATTTTGCTTCACCTCATTTGCTTAAGGCAACAAGTGAAAGGATTTTAGATCCCTCAGTAGAAGGCACCGTGAGTCACTTCGCACAGAACAGAAAACATTTCCTTCAATTCAAAATGCAGTGTCTTGTTTGACCCAGCTGAGAGCGCAGCCTCCCACTGCAGCAGAACTGCTGCCAGCATGACCTGCCCTAGTTGAGATGTGGCCAACTAGTTTAAAGTTCAACAGTTGTTTCCAAGTTAGAATTATACCACAACCTCATCTGACTGGCACATGACAAAAGCAAGCATTTGCATATACAAGGCTAAATTGGAACTGGAGAGCTTCACAATGGCCTCTTTCCAGCCTAGGTTACATCACAGTTTTGCCCAGTTGCACAGAACAACAGCAGAGGCTCCAGGTTACAGAAAAATCACATGCCACCTCTGTAACATTACTTCAGTGGACTATAATATGTATGTATAATATGTGAATTTTGTTTTCTGACTGCCAGAAAAAAGGGCAGCTAATCTACTCCCTTTCAAATCGCTCAAAAGCTGCAACTGATCAGCCAAGTAAAATAAATAAATACCAAAATACCACAGTAAAGCAATCTATCACAGCACAGTCTGGCCCTCCCAAGCACTTCAGGCAAGCCAGCATTTGAGTGAGATCCATTGGTAGTTAAGAGCTGAGTGATCAGCAATCATTAACAAAACCTTCCCTTTCAGGGAAGAATCAAGCATTAGAATACAGTTGACCTAAGGCAGATTACAACAGGAGACAGAGTCCCACACAGTTATGCTGCACAACTCTCGTATCGCATTTAAATGAACCATGATACGGGAATTTTCTTTTTTGCAAGTGTTTTGCCATCTTCATATTAGCAGCAACGAGAGTCACAAGGGATATGCTGCACATAACTTACCTCTCTGGCCACATTACTCGTTTTCACCTCCTGGATAACTGTGCCATAAACAATGTAATCCACAACATCCCTTGGGATGCTGGTCCGGTCCAGAAGCCCCCTAAGGAGAAGATTACAACAAACAGTATTTGCACCACGTAAGCAATAAACTTGTCACAGCCCTCAGACATCCTCTTTCCACCAGCTTAGCTGGAGAACAAGGCAACAACGGAGCCACATCCAGAGGAAATCCTGTGTATAGCTGTACTTTATGAAAATGTAATTGACTACAGACTGCAAGTAATCATGGCAATAAGAGCACTATAAATGATTACAGAATTTCATGGAAACGACTACACTACACCCTCACCCCTCCCTAAAATGGTTGTTAGTATCTTCCCCAATTTGGGGTATTCAGACATCAAAATTAAAGGAAAAGGGCTTTAAGAGATAAAGCAAATTAACTTTGATGTAGGAACACATAAAACTTCAATAAAGGTGCACAGAAAACAAGCAATGTGAAAAATACTAGAAAACATATTGTGCGATTTGACAGAAGAGCTCAACGAACAGGCCAGCACAGCAAATCCCACTGCCAGCAGCGATTTGAGGCCCCTGGGATTCACATGTAGTTTCATACACTACCAAGCACCAAAGAGAAATGAATCTAAAGGCACCTGAAACCTAGAATCCTAGAATGGCTTGTGTTAGAAGAGACCTTAAAGATCATCCAGTTCCAAACCCCCTGCCATGGGCAGGGACACCTTCCACTAGACCAGGTTGCTCCAGGCCCCAGCCAGCCTGGCCTTGAACACTGCCAGGGATGGGGCAGCCACAGCTTCTCTGGGCAACCTGTGCCAGGGCCTCAGCACCCTCACAGGGAAGAACATTTTCCTAAGATCTCATCTAAATCTCCTCTCAGTCAGTTTAAAGCCATTCCCCTTTTTCTTGCAGCACACTAAAACCCCAACATCCAGGGAACAGCCCTCACGCATGATTAACACACTGACTGTCAACCAAATCAGTTCTTTCCTTGGGCCTTGAAGTCTCCTTCCCCATGCACCCAGTAAAGCCTTCTCTCTTTTTAACAGCACTTTGCCCTGCTCAACCAACCAAACCCACAGCTAATGGCCTACAGCTTTTGTCAAATCACTCCAGAATGGAAGAGACAGACAAGATGACAGAATCTGCTTGTTATTCTTGTTGCCATTTAGTTTTCTCTAAATGGCAGGGTTTTTTTCTCAGGTTGTTTTTCCCGTAAGTTGTAAGTACACTTCAACACACAGTAGCTATGATCTCTGTATTTAGAAAACTACAGAGTTCAAATTAACTAAAATTTGCCAAGTAGGAGAACAATGGCATCTCTTTGTAACAAGACACTTTAACACAAGCCTGTTGTAAGCCCTCCTGCTTAAGCCACCTATGAAGGTCGTGGTAGACCATGAAAAATGAGGTGCCTGTATGGTATTGTTTAGAGACAAAGCAAGAGCCTTGCCTTTCAAATCTGTTGAAGCCACTGTACCAACACTGGGACCCCAATGAGTTTTCTGGGCCCTTCTAGTATTTGATTTACTTACTGCAGTGCTGCTCTTGCTAGGTCATGTGGCATAAGATCCGCATACCTAGAAGTTAAAAAGAAGGACATACTCAGGTGCGTCAGAAACCAAGAGGTCTACTTCACTGCTGTAAGCGCACATCAGTGGCAAAGAGCTAGTGACATACCAGAAATGCTCCACTGACTGCGCTTAAAATCAAACAGTTCATACCCCAGGTTGTGAAGACTCTGTGTAAAGGCCACCACGTAATTGCTGTATTAGAAACATTGAAAAGCAGCAGCAACAGAATAAATCCTAAGAGTTAGGTCTGGTCTTAATTCAGGTATGTGTTTGGTAGCATAACAGTCTAGGAAGAGTCTACAGCAGACTCTGCACATCCTGCAATTTTGTGAAATGCATCGCTTTATCGGCTATAGATTCACTAACAGGTTCCTCTAGACACGCAGCATAAATCCTCACTCTTCTCAGAACTCATACACATGGTCAATCTTCTTCAGACCATGTTTTTTCATTAGCTTAAGCTGGAATAACCGTAGCAGCCCGACTCACTGACACCTCAGTACTTTTAGGCATAATGACTACATTAAAATGGACAAGTCAGCCAACTTTTTTCACAGAAAGAATACACTATTAACCAAGTCAGCATGTATCTTCTTTTTATTTCATACTTACGTGGTGCCAGACTGCAAAAATGGAATACGGACACCCTCCACCACAACAACATTCTTCACACCATTTCTGGCTAAGGTCTTCTTACTCTTAGGCTGGACTGGTAAGAAAGAAGCAATGTTAACAAGAGTACTAGCAAGCTTAAATTAAGATCCTACAAAATCATACTACAAAACTAAGGAAATTATTCTCTTTTGGTGTGTAAGTCATTAGCAGAGTAGGTAGGACACCTGAGCTGTAATCTTGTCTCTGGCTAATTATGCGGTCTGTGAAAAAAAGATACCACCCCTCAGTATGTCCCCTATCAGCAGATTCATTTATAGCTACACTGAGGCAATGGTACTGCTCTCTAAGCACCTAACTCCCAGTCTCTGCTACCGCTGACAAGGTTACTGCATGAAGCAATGCTTCTGAAAATACTGCACAGCTTACAGTACAAATGAGACAGACCGAATTCAAAGCTTGAATAAGATCTCTCACTTGCGGAGCAGCGAGAACTGCAAAGAGCTACCCACCTTTCACAGTAATTGCCAAGGTATGTGCTCTTGCTGCACAGTAAAGGTAAGAAGGTGAGATGATTCAAGGTAAATCAAAACACAGCTCAAGAAGTTAACTAACTTTTGCTCTCGGAGGAAAGCAGTAGCAAAAGTAGCGTGGGTAGTTGCTGAGGGTAACTTGCTACTTCTCCATCAGGTGTCTGAGCACCTCAGGTCCAAGGCAAAGCATGTCACGACACAGTGTTGCTCAACAGGACACTGCCATAACTTTTCTGGAGTGATGATTAATGAAGAGAGTTCAAAGAGAACTTCCAAACACAATCAGGCCTGCAAATCTTAGCAGGCGTATATGGCAGCATGGGTGCAATTCCTTTTCCAAGCAGGAAAAGGATGAAGACATGTAGAAGCAAATTAAGTCTGGCTAAATACTGTGTTCAAGCAAGTGAGGATGGAACTCCAACACTGCTCTTGGCTCTCTGTGCAAAGCCAAGGAGACAAGGGGGAGCTACTGTCTAGGCCTGTTTCCAAAACCCACACACCTTAGAGCATGTCACCTGAGCAACTCCCCCAGTGAACCCCAGAATGCTGGATCACCCCAGCCACTAGCTAAGGGCCACAGCTAAAATTCCCTGTAACTGTTTGTCCTGAGCAGCTCCAACAAGAACTGAGCCTCTTAGTGGTCTTACTGGAGTTCAGAGCTAATTCCACAAGCTTCTATCAGGGACAATCCCCCCCGCTCTGGGTAAGTGATCTGCTTGTGCCCAGATGGTTTTTATACTCTGAGCTTAGCATCTCGGTTTAGGTTCTAGAAATAGCAATCTGTCAGGTGACGATGGGGCTGAGCTCTGGACTGGTCACAGCTGCTGAGAACAAGGGGTACACAGAAACTGAGAGGATTCTACTGCAAACTGCAGTTTACCTGTGATTTTACTTGTCTGCAGCTTTTGCAGAGCACTCAAACTACTTCTACAGTCACAGAATGGTTTGGCTTGGAAGAGACCTTAAAGCTCACCTAGTTCCAACCCGCTGCCAAGGGTAGGGACACCTTCCACTAGAGCAGGTTGCTCAAAATCCCATCCAACCTGGCCTTGAACACTGCCAGGGCCTCAGCACCGTCACAGGGGACAACTTCTTCCTGAGAGCTCATCTAAATCTCCCCTCTGTCAGTTTAAAGCCATTCCCCCTTGTCCTGTCCCTGCAGGCCCTTGTCAAAAGCTCCTCTCCGGCTTTCCTGTCAGCCCCTTTAAACACTGGAAGCTGCTCTAAGGTCTCCCCGAAGCCTTAAGGCAGTCTGCACTGTGCTTCTGAGATTTAAGTAGAATGACACTCTGAAAAGGGAGGCAGCTTTAAAAATCATCTTCTCTAGCACAGACCCATTGAGGTTCCTGGTGTTTTAGCTTTACCTGCAGCTTGTAACAGAGGAGAGCAGCTGAGTGACCGAGCAACTGAAAAACAAGAAATTAAAACAGTGCCTGTCAAACACGAAATGTTAAAAACATTTTTAGTTTCTGTAAGAACTGTTCAAAACATATGATAAGGTCATAATAAGACAACTGCACCTGAACACCTCTAAAGTATTTTTTAGTTTGTCCACAAAAATAAGACAGTTCATATTACAACACGAGGTTCCTCCTACATCCAAGATGGTAACTGACAAATATGGCAACACTGAATTATTTTTTAAAAAGTCATCTTTAAGATGACAAGAGAACAGAGATTCAGATACAGCACCTATCCCAAACCCAACACTTAAACCAGAACTTTATGACCTCCCAAGTCAAGCTTTCAATAAATGTAAAGATACTTACAGCCCCTGGCAGCCCATGCTGAGGAAGCAGGGAGCTTTGTGACAGCATAGGTCAGCATGCAACTCATTTTGATATCTAGAGAGCTGGAGAAAGGTTGGTATTAATCCAATCTGGTCTATTCAGAATACAGTTTCAAGCAATCTGCCTGCTTCGCACAGAGCAAAAAAAGTGGAGAAGACACTCCAAGGGCAGCAACAGGGAGAATTGCTTCCTTTTGCACTTTTTGAACACACAAAGAGCCTGGCTTATGACTGTGGCCTGCAAGAGTTCCTGTAAATAAATAGTTACCTCCACAGTGACGCAGAACTGTACGAACAGTAACCGGCACAGTTTTTGATTCCCCTCCCAGTAACTGTTCCCCACTTGAAAACTGTCCCAGTGCCTAGCTAATCTCACTGCCAGCGTGACCCTCCCAGCACACTCTCTTTGGCACAACATCATGCCACTACCCCTCGTTTTAACCTCAACAACTTCTGTTGAATATCCCCACGGGAAGCAGAATGAGTTGGTATCTTTTACCACAAAAAATTCCTTGGTTGATTTCCCAAAGTTCATTCCAAAATAGAGTTTTCCCTAAAAAAAATCCTCATCTGAAGTTCTCATTGACCAGGGCAAAAAGCAGTCCTCGCAGCTCCAGTTCTTTGGTGGCTCACAGCAAAGTTCACCTTGCTCTGACACACTTTCAGCACTCAAGCTAACAGCACTCTCTCCCCCAAATACATTGTTTCCCTAGAGGGTTACACCCACCTCCAGCCCCAAGCCCAGCCTACCCAGGTACTCAAATCCCAGCCTAAGCTGCCAGCTGCCACTGTTACGCCTCACACCATACAGCTCCGCACCTGCAACATGCCACGCAGCATTCCTCATTTCCCAGCCTGCTCTGGCTACACTGGCACCCCACAAACCAGACCTGGGCTCCTCATGTCAGCAGAGATCTGAAAAAACAGCCTTCCTCACTGTCATCCTTTTCTGGATCTGCTCTGTGCTCTCCTTCCACATGCACCAGGCTCCCTCCACACACCTGGCTGAAGCTTTTCAGAGAATCCTAGAATGGTTTGGCTTGGAAGAGACCTTAAAGATCATCCACTTCCAACCCCCTACCACAGGCAGGGACACCCTCCCCCAGAACAGGGTGCTCC